AATGAACTACTAGCATGTGATTCTCACCAGGCCAGATTGTAGTGAACGATTTTCTTTCAGTGCTACACGGTATTATCTAAAGTGTAGCTGGTCTCTCACACACATACAAATTGATGATCTAAATTGTTGATACTCTTTTATTCCTCCTTGCCAGATCTTTCCCCAAAGGAAAATTCCCTTACCAGGAATTGCTTCAACATTCTTCCTGGGGAAACAAGGAAGGGACTGGCATAGCAGCTCACACCTATAATTCCAGTTACTTGGGAGGCAGAGAGCTGAAGGAGTATGATTTGGAGACCAGCCTGAGCAAAAAGAAAAAAATTATATAGAGACCCCCCCCCCCCCAAATCTCAGCAAACAAGGCAGGCATGGTGGGTGGCTCACACCTGTAATCTCACTAGACCCAGGCAACAGCTCAAGAAATTGTCTAGAAAAAAAACAGCATCTTACATAATCATACCAGTATGACTTCGTGGAATATACTATCAACAATGCTAAGGGCTAATCTCCAGTCTACTCCCAGATTTCCACAATTGCCCCAAGACCTTTGAAACAGTTTCTTTCTTATCCCCAATTCCAGTATCAAGCAGTATGTGGCCTTTAGCTACGACTTTTTTTTTTTTTAAGTCCATTGTGGGGCTTGAATGATGGGCCTGGGTGCTGTCCCTGGGCTCTTCAGCTCAAGGCAAATACTCTACCACTTGAGCCACAGCAGCACTTCCTGTTTTCTGGTGGTTAATTGGAGATAAAGAGCCTCACAGACTTTCCTGCCCCAGCTGGCTTTGAACTGTGATCCTCAGATCTCAACCTCCTAAATAGCTAGGATTACAGGAGTAAGCCACTGACAACAGGCTTTTTTTTTTTTTTTTAAAGAATTCGGGTCTGGGCTGGGAATGTGGCTTAGTGGTAGAGAGCTTGTCTAGCATGCATGAAGCCCCAATGTTCAATTCCTCAGTACCACATACACAGAAAAAGCTGGAAATGGCACTGTGACTCAAGTGGTAGAGTGCTAGCTAGCCTTGAGCAAAACAGGCTTATGGACAGTGCCCAGGCCCTAGAATTCTAGCGCCAGGACTGTCAAGAAAAAAAAAAGCAAACAAAAAGGAATTCAGACCAGACTGGGGCTGGTAGCTCACACCTGAAATCCCAACTACTGAGATCTGAGGATCGTGGTTCAAAGCCAGCCAGGGCTATAAAGTCTGTGAGACCCTTATGTCCAATTAAGTAGCAAAAAGCTGAAGTGGAGCTAAACAGGAAAAAAAAAAAAAAAAGGCAAGAGATAGGGCCTCTAAGACCTGAGTTTATACCCCAATACAGGCACAAAAAAGAAAAAGAATTCAGGCCAGTTTGGTAAAAATGTTCCTCCAGTTCCTCACTGTTTAAAATTCCAAGACCTCATTATTGGCCCTGGGGGACAGGCAGGATCCGCCCTGCATCCCTCCGACACACCAACCTCTGCGTTCTGTCACCAAGATGGCTCTTCACACATACACAAAAGCTACTCTCAGGTCAAGCCCTTTGACCCCCAATGCCTCTCACTGCCCCCGCCCCCTCCAGCCAGACCCGACACAACCCAAAGCATTTCACCCCCTTTGTGGCCTGGGTCCCAGTTTAGAATTTTTTCCCTTGGCTGATTTATACCCCTGATCGCCTGAGTTCCCCCCACTTCCCAAACACACACACACACACACACACACACACACACACACACACACGTACACACACATACCACTGAGCCCCAAAGAGCAAAGACTGGTCCGTTTGGTTCAAGGCTGAACCTCCAGATCCTGGAGTGGTTTCTGGCTGCCAGGAAGTACTCAGAAATTATTTGCTAAGTATATGAACAAGGAAGAAAGGAAGGAAGAAGTGAGCCAGTAAGCAAAGAACCAAGAGATGGCAGAAGAAAAGGCCTTTCTGAGATTGCAGAATCTCCATTCCCAGATTGCCGCTAACCGAAGAAGGAAAATTCCGGCAAACCTCCCTTATCACAGAACTCACTGATTAATCTTTCTAAATCAATCCCAGTGGACTGACAGGCTGGATTCCAGAAGGGTCTTCTGGGAGAGAGGCAGGAAAGGGAGGGGAAAAAAGCCCCTTGGTCCCAAATTGTCTAGTGGCCAGGCCAAAGTACAGACCTCCCCATCCTGGGCCCCGGGACCCACCTTCCATTCAGTGCTGGCTGTGGGGGCTGGGAGGATAAAGACCCAAGTACAAAATCCTAAGAACTCTTTAAATGCAAGGCAAGAGGACTGCCGACCTCAGCCTGGGCAGACCAGTGGCTGGAGTCTAGCGGAATCAGTTGCTAGCTGGTCACTAGTTCCTTTCACTCAAGGGTATAGGAAAGAGAAAAAACATCTTTGTGTTCAACCAGCATCCAGCATCCCTACTCCCATATTTTGTGCTTATACTGGGGCTTTAATTCAGGGTACCTAGGTGCTGTCCTTTAGTTTTTTCATTTTGCTCAAAGCTAGCACTCCATCTCTTGAACCACAGCTTCACTTAAGGCTTTCTGGTAGTTCACTAGAGACAAAAGAGTCTCCTGGGCTTTTTCCTGCCCAGCCTGGCTTTGAACATCGTCAGAGCTCAGCCTCCAGAGTAACTAGGATTACAGGCTTGAGACACCTACTAGGCTCCACATTCATTCTAGATTCCTATCTTTTTTCCAAAAAAAAAAAAAGAACAAAGCCACACCCACAACACGGAAAACCACCTCTCCCAGAAAACCCTCACTCACAGCAGAACTCCCTCAAACCCCCATTCTCCCCACGCAGTACCCCTTCGTTCAAAGGGTTCACAGGGCAGCTCCCCTCGGCCAACCTACGTAGCCCGGCCATAACCACCAAACATGCCAGGGGACCCAGCCACCCAAAGGTAACACCCCCTTCTTGCTGTGTGACTGGGGCAAATAGCTCAACCTCTCTGAGCTTGTTGTGCAAAAGTAAACAAAGATCAAGCTGATAACACAAGCAAGACTCGAGGAGCAGACAGCTACAGAGAGAAGAGGGGGGTAAGAGGTGGGAAAGAGAAAGCACCTGTACCCCACAAAGAAAAAGGGGGGGGAAGGATTTAGGTTGAGGAATCTCTAATCCTCCCTGATAATCAGTAAATTCCGGGCTCGGTCCCAGCTAGCAGTTAACAGGATTGTCTTGGGCGTGGCTCTGGGCCTTGGCCTAGGGTCCACAGCTCCAGGCCAGGCTGGAGGTGGAGTTGGGGGAGATAAAAGGGGGGGGAGGGGGCGAGCAGCACAGGGACCTACTCTCCTGGGTAAGAAGGCCTCACCAGGCTGTGGCAGCTTTCCCGCCATTTCCTCTACAGTATCAGCTATGAAAGGGCAGAAGTGGGGGCAGAGCGGGTGTGTGAAATCGGAGGACTGCCATAGAGGACTCCCCTAGACCTCCAATGGGGACTTGCTTAACCCTAAGCCCTAACACCCAGCCACCCGGCATGAGTCGAGGTCTGCCAGACCAAGCTCGCACTGCACAAGACATTGATGAGTGCTTGCACGTCTGAGCCAGGCACAGCAAAGCCACAGCCCCTACAGGCGGGCAGCAAGGCCCAGCCGGCCAAGGACAGCCAAGATCAGATTCCTAGGGCGCCCCGGCCACCACCCCAGGCAGCACCAACTAACCCGGCGAACCCAAAAGCCATGCGAACGCACACCCATCACTGCAGCCTCGCGCTGCAGGGTGCCCAAGGGGGGAGCCCCAGATGGCCTTGGTACCCCCAGGGCAGCCTTCAAGTCCTGCCTCAAGGGTCCCTAATGCCTCCGCCCTGGGCCAACATGGGGCCACTTAAGGAGGAATCCTGAGGCTCGGGGCTCAGCGGCAGCCCCAGAACAGCCCAACTCCCCAGAGCCGCGGGCACCTCCGTGCCCCTCCCCCGGCGCCTCACAAAGGCCCTTTGTCCCACCGAGTCCCGGACTTGGGTTCCTGAAAAGTTACAGCAGAAAAATCCAAGAGAGAAGCAAAATCAGCCAGCGTGGCCGGGCCGGGTGCTGGGGCTGAGGATTCTTTCCAAAGCTCCAAGGACAAGGACAAGGATCTCCCCAAGAAATCACAAACACCCCAGACTGCGACTTAAACAGAAAGGTGGATTTCTTTTCCTTTTCCTCCCTTTCATCTGACCGTCTGGCTCAGAAGCCAGGAGCAGCTGGGGAGGAAGGGTTGGGGTCCCCCCCCACTACACACCATCGCCAGGGCCGGGTCACCCGGCTCTCTTTCGTGTCCATTCGGCTGCTGCAGTCCCGCTGGGCCCGGCCAGCTGCGTTCTCCGCTCCGCTGCCCTTCCAGGAACCAGAGGCAACCGCCCGCGTTCCCGGCCACCTCCCCGGTGTCCCCCAAGGCCACCAGGACCCGGCCCATCATCTGCTCCAAGGGCCGGCCGGGATTCAAGGACCCCTCCGCAGCACTGTGCACCCTCGTTCAGCCTTAGAGAACCAGAGTTCCCCAAGCCGGGATCACCGCCCTCCTACCGGGGAAGAGGCCTAGAACTGGGTTAATCGCTTCCCCGACCTCTTCCCCGGGGCCGGGGACCCTGCTGAGCGCGGGTGGAGACGGAGCTGGACACGGAACCCAAGGCCCCAGCGGCACAGGGGAAAAAACCCATTTGCCAAGAAAACGATGGGAGTTAGGGGAGCGGGAGGCGCACGGGGAGCGGGCGTAGGACACCCGGCGTGATCGCTTCTCGCCCGGATTTTGCAAACCCCAGGCTCGCACCACCAGGGGCCGGCGGACACGGATCGCCTTCGGGGCGGGCTCTGATCGCCGCCGCAGACATTTGGGAAGAACCAGAAGATCCGGGCCGGCAGCCGTTGGGGCCTCGGGATTGGCCTCTGCTCTGAACCCCGGGGATAAGGGTTTCCTGCCCAGGGAGCTGAGCCCACCCGTTCCCTAGCGACAGACCGGGGGACGGGGGTCACCGAGCTGCCCCCAGACTCGGGCGCGACGGTCTCCGGGGCCTCGGCTCCCCTCCGCCCGCGCGCTCCGTCGCGGCGCACTTACCCGGGTGCGGGTGAAGGTTAAGGCCGGCCATGTACTTCCCGGGCGGCAGCGGGCCCGGCAGACCCGACGCGGGCAAACGTCCGGCGGTGGCCGCGCCCACGCGGTGACCGTCCATGGCCAAGCCGGACAACAGCGGAGGCGGGGGGCCGTGCACGGACCGCTGGGGTCCGAAGTCTCGGCCATCCATCCTCCGCGGGAGAGCGGCGGCCAGCCTCCCCCCGCCTGGCCCGCGGGCCTCGATCACTGGAAACTAAAAGTTCGGCTTCCACGTAGTCCCGGAGTCCTCGGGTGGCGGGGGCTCCGCGGCGTGCATGGCGGCGGCCCGCGGCCCCGGGCGCACGGCCGGCGGCGGAAGGGCCTCTCCGGGCGGCCGAGCGGAGCTGTGCGAGGCGCACTCGGCGTCTTGGCGGAGAAGTAGATGAGCCACGGAACAACGGAGAGAGGAGAGAGAAGGGAGAAAAGGGGGGGGAGGAAAAAAAAAATTAAGTTCGATAAAGTCGCCTTGCGCCCTTCGGAGTCGGGCAGCCGATCGGGGGTGTCCAGAAACGAATTCGGGAGTTAGACCACTTTAGTGAAAAGTTCTTTCTCTTGTGCCCCCCCCCTTTAAAAAATCTACGTTTTCCTTCCTTCCAGAGGATTCGCAGCTCCCCAGGACTCGATTTGGGGAAGTGACAGGTGCGCGCCGAGCTCCAACCCGGCCTCGGCCTCAGCGATGGCCCGGGTGTGTCCTCCCTACCCCGGGGAAGGCCAAACCGGCGGCGTCCGGAGAGGCTAAGGAGACAAACCACCGCAGAGGGGTTTGATTCCTGGGCGTCACAAGCTCCGGGGTCGAAAAACTGGGAAGCCTCTTCCTTGAGCTGCTGGCAAGGTCTCCCCAAACACTATCTCCTCGGCAAAGTTTAATATTTAACCTTTCTGGGCCCCCTCGCCTGCTTTTTTTTTTTTTTTTTTTTGCCACCCCCACCCTAAAGAGTTTGATTTTCCTGTGTTGGCCTGAAAAAAAAAAGCCAAAGGAATGCTTAGTTTGTTGTGATTGCTGCCCGATTGGGGTGGGAGGTGGCAAAAGCACTGGGTTTGTGGTTTTTAAAGAGCTTCGCCGCCCCCTCCCGCCGCCGGCATCGGGGCCACCCGGAGTCGCACAATCCTGGGTCCCCAAGACCCGAGGTCGTGGCGCTGCCGCCGGAGGATTTGTTTAAAAAAATAATAATCCTCCAAACCGAGCTTCGCTTTCATTTTCCATCGCCCCGGCGTGGGAATCATTTCGCGGCTCCGAGAACGCGCGGCCCACTGGGGAGGGGGACATAGGATGGGAAGGAAAAGGGGTTCAAGGATCTCTCTCCAACCCCTAGCTTCCCACACATTACACACCCTTAAAATAACCTACAAAGGAAAGCTTCGAGGGGAGGAGGGCGGAGAGGCCCGCGCTGGGCCGAGGGGCGCCACCCCCCAGCGCAGGGCAAATCCCCCTGTAGTTCTAGTTTCAAGATGTTTGTTTAAAAGCTTTGTCGCAGGCCGATTCCCGTGGGGGCGGAAAGGGGAGGGGGACGGGGGGTGTCCTGGAGCCCACCCTTCCCCGGCTGTCCGGCCGGCCGCCCTCGGTGGCTGATCGTTAACTCCCGGAGAGGCTCCGAGACGCTCGAGCAGAGCCAAAAGAGCCACCACCCGCCTTCTGGGGTGTCCGCCCTGCACCCCGACTCCGCTCCCAGCACCCCCTAAGATGCACACACCGTTCTCCGGCTTCCTTCAGCCTTTCTGTCCCCCCTCCCCACCTCCAACTTTAGTATTTTAACATGGTTTTGGTTACAAACACCCCCCTCCTTACTCTCTCCCTCCCGTCTCCAGGTCTGGTACCAGATCCGCGTTTACTTTGGGGAGGGGGGGTAAACAACCTTAAGATTGCCACATCCGAGGATATCGGTCTCACGGATGCGAGGAGCCTCCCGGGATTTTTTTAAAAGATATATTCTTAAGATTATCTTTCTTCACAAAAAAAAAAAAAATCAGCGCCTCAAAGCATGCCCAAGCTCCCCACTTGGGATAAGTCGGGGTGAAGCCCCCCTCTGGAACAGCCTGGCAGCGGCGGCGAAGCCGGCGTGGCCATCGGCGGGCCCCGCCGCTTTCTTCCTACTTTTCTCTCCCTCTTAAATGCAGTTAAAATGGCTGAATTCCGGCTTTTAATTAAAAACAGCCTGTCTCATCGAAAACGTCTGGGCGTCCCCGGCTCCACAGCTGCCGGCGGAGAACCGAGCGGAGGACCCACGCCCCTCGGCCGTGCCCCCCCCCCGGCCGCCGAGCACCCGGAGCGGGCTGGGGGCGAGGGTGGGCGCGGGGGGCGCGCCTCCTCCCTTCCCCGGGGCTCCCGCTCCCCGCGATCCCCCGCGTCCCGATCTCCTTCCCGGGAGCTGCGCGGCTCCGGGGGTGCCAGCCCCCCGCGCACGCCCGAGGGGCAGGAGGGGTGGGGGGCGAGCGGCAAGAAGTTTGGAGACCACCGCGCCCCCGCGGGCCTGGGGCAGGCGGGCCGGCGGCGTACCTGGCGCGGCGGAGCTCCCGGCTCCCGGCTCCGGTAACAACGTCTCCGGTGGCGGCCCCGGTTCCCCGGCGCGGCTAGGCGCCCGTGCTGCCCGCCATCCCGCGGCCGCCGCACACTTTTTGCCCGCCTTTCCTTTTTTTGGTAGAAAATCGCTCCCGGGGCCGAGCGTTCGGCGCGCCAACTCCTCCGCCCTCCCGCGGTCCGGCTCCCGCAGCCCCCGGAAAAGCCAGCTTTCCTCCCGCCCAGCTCCGCGCTTTTTAATAAAATCCAGGTAGCGCCGGTTTAAAGAATCCCAAATCTCCATATACAGCCCGGGATTGGAAAAGGTACATTACACAACCCCCCTTTCAAGTTCCTCTCGCTGGATCTAAAAAAAAAAAAAAAAAAGCCAGCGGGGGGGGGGGGGGGGGGGGCTTGGGGGAGGGGAGCGCTCGGCGGCTAAGAAACACGCATTGTTCCCGGGTGCCCGCCCCCCCCTCGGGTCGGCCCCCGACCGCCGCCCATTGGCCGCGCGCGCCGCCCATCACGCGCATGTAAACACCTTGGCCCACAGCCATTCCTATAAAACCAATTACGGACCTCGGGGCTCCAGCAGTTTCCAGGCTCCCCCTCGGCGGGGCTGAATGATCCAAACTGGTGGTGAGAATTTTTCCGAGCCGTTTCTAGGCAGCCCTCCTCCCCCCCCCCCCCCCCCTCCAACCACCACCAGTTCCAGCCCTACCCTCCCTCACCCCTCCCCCGCCTCTTCCTCCTTCTCCTCCCTTTTCCTCCCCCCCCCTCCTTCTCCTCTCCTGCGTCTGGGCTTGGAAGTGATCAAAATAGGGGAAGATGGTTGTCGCCGCAATCCCAGGCGCGGTTTAATGGGCCGCCTGTCAGCTTCCTGCTCGCTGGAGGAGGTGACAAGCCGGACGAGCCGGGAGAGACCTTGGAGCCCGGCGAGCTGCAACCCTGCGCCCGACCCCCAGGTCTCCCCCCCCCCCCCCCCCCCCGCCTGCCTTCCCGGGATTGCGCCTTTAGAACGCGCAGTGGAGACGCCAAAACAGACAAGGACAAGGGCGGCTTTTTCCCTTTTTTTTTTTTCCTTCCTTTTAAAAACAAAGCAGCGATTCAGTCCCTCTTTCCCCCAGCCGCGGGAGCGCGGTCGGGGTGGGCTAGGCAGGCCGAGAAAGGCGTTTTCTTTGCCCCAGCCTGCGGGTCCCTCCCTGAAACGTGGTGTCAGATGGTTACTGATTAATATTTTGGAGAGGCTGCGGCGGCGGGGAGCGGTGAGTCTAATCTTCTAAAAAGGGGGTTCCTATAGAAACGCGGGCCAGGGCGCGGGCGCCCCTCCCCGCGCGGCCCGCGGCGGGGCTGCGGCGCTCGGCTCCGCGCGCCCCTCCCCAAAGCCCCTCTTGGCGTGGGCGTCCCCCTCCCTTCCACCACCACCCCCCAAAAAAAAAAAATCAGAGCAGAAAAAAGGATTAGATCGGCTGAGCGCAAGCTGAATCCCCCTCGATTCTGACATTTCAGCCTATTAGCATTTCTCCACGGGGCCTTCTGAAACCTATTAAAGTATAATATTAAAAACCTCTTGGCTGGGGGCCTCTCTCGCCTTCCATCCGCCGCGCCCCCTCCAGGGAGGGCGAGACCGGGAAAAAAAAAAATCTGTTGAGCTCAGAGGAAGCGGCTGCCAAGCCTAAAAGTGCTTGGCTGGCCACGACAGCGGAGGGGGAGGGGGCCCCAATCCCCCAGACTTTGTACTTTATTTTTGCGCTTTCAGCAAAATCCTTTCTGGGTTGAGTCTCCAGGAGCTGTTCGAGGCCGATCTCTACCTGGCTTGGGATTCAAGGAGGACAGACCCCACTGGAAAACTGTTTGGGGAGGGGGAGGGGAGCCCGCGTAACCTTTTCCGCAGCCCCGCAGGCACCCAAGCCGGGCTAGGCGTTTACCTACCCTGCAAGGGCAGAAATCCTAGCCGATCCTGCCTTGGAAGGCTACCGTGGTGACAGGATTTTAATGAAAACAAGAGAAAAGTCCGCTCTGCGAACTCAGCGTTTCCTCTTAGCTCCTTTTTTTAAAAAAAAAAAAAAAAAGAAAGAAAAAATCCATTTTTAAGGAACTTTTTTTTTTTTGAAGGGAGTGAGAAATGAGCTAGTGAGCGGCCCATTCGTTCTATTTTTTTCCACTTTTAGGGGGGACGTAGGGGGAGGGCTGGAGGACGAACGGGGGGGGGGGGAGAGAATGTCTAATTTAATTCCAGGATAAATTTGAGGGGGGGAAGTTGAGCCTCTGGAGGGCAGTTTCAAGTTGCCCTTCCTGGAGCCTCCCGCGCTGGTTTCTAGGCTACCCACTTTGGGAAGCTAGAGACCGGGGTGGGGGTGGGGGAGAGAGAGAAAAGGAACGAAAATAGCCTGAGCCAAGGGGAACCAACAGCGGTGGCCGCGCATGGAGCTGGGCGCGCGGGTGTCAGTGGCAGCCAGGGCGGCGGGAGGCGCCCAGTGCGGCCTGGAGAATTCAAGAAGACGGAGAGAGAGAGGGGGGTTAGAGAAAGGAGGTATTGTGACTGTGTGCCTTAGGGGAGGGGGGGGTGTCTGCAAAAATGAAATAAATGCAGTCGAACTGCACGGGGCTGCTGGGAGGGGCGCGCAAAGCACCCGAGTCTCATCCAGAGGCCTTTGTGGGGGTCCCAGTAAGCCCTCCCCCGGCGGAGTCCCATCACCTCCCCCATCCTGGTCAGAACACAGGCCTGATCCCCACCCCCTTATCCTGCCAGCCCGGGAATGT